GAGGGCAAGAAGTCATGCTTGGAGTGAACATTATCAGGAATCCTTGAGAGTTAAGACTTACTGTTAATACTCAAAGTAATCAATTGTTCCTGCTGTGAGAAAAAATAAGGAGTCCTATACAGGAAAAAGCAAAGCTGATGGTGTGACAGGAATGATATATGAAGCACTTAGGACAATCCTGAATTAATTTATTTTTGGGGGGATGATTATTTGAGGACAAAGGTAAAATGGGAATAGAATAAAATATATTAAAATAGATATTACTACAAAGTGGAAATAAAATGTGGACATCAAAGCTCTCAACATGGTCTAGTTAATCTTGATCAAAAAAATCTGGAAGGAGACCCAGCTCATGAAATTGTAAGTCTGGTAGCAATATCTATAAAATTGGGAGCTGTGACATGTGATGATGAAATAGAAAATGTAAAATACTTAGAAAGATGAAAAATTTTATTGAAGTAACTGAGGACCAATTATGGTGAATTAGACTAGTCAGAGCTTTAGGACAAATGTGGCAGTAGCAGATTCTTAGGGTACATATAAAAAAGGCCAAAAATTGTTAACTAGTTTACAGAAGCAGCTCCTGCAACACATCACTGATGACTCTCTTTGTATTTGGTGTAGGTGAGCTAGATCTAACTACATCTCCTCAGACAGTGTCATATCTGTCTAATCCCTCTAATGGAAGAAAGTAGGGAAGCAGATTCTTGGGGTACATATAAAAAAGGCCAAAAATTGTTAACTAGTTTACAGAAGCAGCTCCTGCAACACATCACTGATGACTCTCTTTGTATTTGGTGTAGGTGAGCTAGATCTAACTACATCTCCTCAGACAGTGTCATATCTGTCTAATCCCTCTAATGGAAGAAAGTAGGGAGAGCCAGAAAAACTATAATGTGGATACACAGAGGTGATTAAAAGGGATTTAAAAGGAGTAAGGAGTTATGTTGAAAAGGAAAGTGCTGGTCTGAAGATATTCACCAGTGGAGCACTAATGGAGCTCTCAAAGACAGTCAATGTTGGGGAGAAAATTTGTTTAATGCATGACCTTGGTACAAAAAAAAAGCTGAAGCATACTGGAAAAAAAAATAGTTAAAATCATAGACTCAGTCCAGATAAGGATTTAGGTATAAGGAATGCATAGCTTTAAAGAATAGCCAACAGATGTGTAAAAAAAAGCTAAGAGAGGTGGATTGAAGCTCAGCAGTACTAAATACAAGGTCGGACATTTGGGAACTAAAAAAAAATTTTAAGAAACAAATGAGGAAGGAAAGTTTAAATATATACTACTTGGTTAAAGGATAACCAAGTCACAAAGCGATGCAGCTGTGCAAAAGATAAACAGGATGAGGAAGTATTGATCACAACATTTTCATCAGAAAGTCAGAACATTAATGATACTTCATGAGACACTGTTGTCACTTCATTTATATATAGCATAAGAACGCACCGCTGTTGTCTCACCTAGTTGAAATGGCCTCACAATTCCTGTGGACTTAAATTGCATTCATGAGCTAATATGAGAAATGAATGGTATTTGTTGCATAGAAAGTGTTAGAGAGTCTGTCTTGTTTCAGTCTTCAATTCAGAAGACTGGAAATGTATGACTGTCTAAATACATCAAAAAAGCATAAGGAGAAATAAGAGACCTATTCAAAATGAAGGAGTATGGTGGCCCATATGATAGCTGTATATTCATCAGAAATAATTTTAAACTGAAAAGAAGCCTCAAAGTTTTCAATATAGAACAACTTTCTGTAGTAGGAGCCTGGATATCATTGTAGTTTTAGGATGAAGGTTGATCAATGCACTACAGGCAGTATAAAAAGCATAAGGAGAAATAAGAGACCTATTCAAAATGAAGGAGTATGGTGGCCCATATGATAGCTGTATATTCATCAGAAATAATTTTAAACTGAAAAGAAGCCTCAAAGTTTTCAATATAGAACAACTTTCTGTAGTAGGAGCCTGGATATCATTGTAGTTTTAGGATGAAGGTTGATCAATGCACTACAGGCAGTATACGATGAAGTTATGGCAGATTATTAAACTCAGTGCCACTGCTGTACCTCAAATTCTCTGTCTCGTTTTCCTGTTGTATCTCTCACCAGGGTGATAACCAGATGATACAGGTAGTACTGAAGGATTTATGTAGAGTTCCAAAGTTCCCAGTTAGCCCCAACACATGCTATTCCCAAATACAAGAATTTATAATGGAATCAACAGTGTTTACATTTGAGAAATCAAGAGTAGATGTGCAGGTCTAGGCTGGCTGCTGGAAAGATTCTCCTATGTATGCAAAGGGAGAAGAGAGTTTTGCAACACTACCACTCCATCACCTGGGCTGAGAACTTGACCATCTCTAACAGTTCATAACCACAAGCTAGGAAACACAGGTCACCATGCCACTGTAGATGTTTTTGTGTACTGAGACAGTGTATGATTACTTTGCAAAAGCA